ATTCACATGCAAAGGATGGCTTGAGCTGCAGGGCAAGGTGTTTAGGGGATTAAGTCAGGAGCTGTTGGCTCCTCTTGAAGCAGAGATTGTTGAGGAGAAAAACCATAGCCATGGTGACCAAAAAAAAATAGGAGCTCCTATTCTCATGTGGGTGATTCGGAAGTCTGGCTCTTCCTATGAAGTATGATGAGAAAAACTAGAGGGTCTGATGCTAGATGACAGGGCAAGGAAAAAATGGTAGTAAAATAACATTACAGAAAAAAACCAAATGACTGAACATAAATGGTGGGCCAAAAAAAAGAATGAGACAGCAGAAGGAAGGCAGGGTTGGGAGAGAATATGAGGCGACAGCCATCAAGCAGAGAAGAAAACCAAGCCACATTGAGAAGAAGAACCATGACAAGAACACAGAGACACAGCTATTCATTCATTCAGTCAGTCAGTCCATCCGTCAGTCAGGAGGTTGGCCATTCATGCAGCAAAACCTTGGAGAATGCCTTCAAGACTCTAGCATTGTACTGGATTCTGGAGCTCTGTGAGTGAGCAAAGCTGGCCGGATGGCTGCTCGAATGGACTTCCCCACCCAGTGACTGGATCAGAGGCACCCACCCCTAAACCAAGTTCAGCCCAGACACTTTAGGTCCTGATGGGTGGAGGCCAGGGACAAGCATTATCCAGCTGTCTTCCTACCCTAAAAAGCATTGCCAGTCCTCATGAAGAAAGAGATTTGGGAAGAATGGAGGCTGGGGATAGAACTAATGCAGAGTTCAGAGAAACGGGCACAGATGGCGAAGGTTTGGGCAGAGAAGGAGAGAGCAGGACGAGGGAACCCTGAATAGGACCAGGCAGCTGCTTTCCAAGCCCAGTTCCAGCCCCATCTCTCCTTCCTAGGAGAGGAAAAATGAAGGAAGAGATATGTAGATGGGAATAATGTCAATAAGGAGAGGAGCTGCCCTTCTGCTGTCCTTTTTTCTTTCTTTCTTTCTTTTTTTTTTTTTTGACGACAGAGTCACTTCCGTTGCCCAGGCTGGACTGCAGTGGTGCGCATTGGCTCACTATAACCTCCACCTCCTGGGCTCAAGCAATCCTCCTGCCTCAGCCTCCTGAGTAACTGAAACTACAGGCGCATGCCACCACACCCAGCTAATTTTTGTATTTTTAGTAGAGATGGGGTTTCACCATGTTGCCCAGGCTGGTCTCAAATTCCTGGTCTCAAGTGATCTACCCACCTCAGCCTCCCAAAGTGCAGGAATTAGAGGTGTCAGCCACCGTGCCTACCCCTTTTGCTGTCTCTTCTCACTCTTTGGAAAGTTCCTGAAGGAAGCACAGCTATGAGTCTCTCCTCTAACCCCAGCCAGTCAGCAGCTGCACAAAGAAAACCACGTGGCTCCCTGCACCTGCTCCCCATGGCAAAGGAAAAATACTCCAAGCATGAGAATGGATCCTGCAACCTGCCCCTGGTGGAATTGTCAGTTTGTGAGCATGCAAATTCGTGCTACACTTACACACATCTGGCTGCTGTCACACACTTGATGGGATAAACCAAACGTTGTCATTTACAGGAAGGTCTCTGGCCTGGAAGCATAAGCCAAAATCTAGAGATTTGCTTGGATTAAAAAGAAAATATTCCTGAGGTTAGGGCTAGAGATTATGCGCATTCAGATCTTAACCAACTCTCTTTCTCACCCTATACCTATACCTGAGCCACATTGAAGAAATGAGTGTTTTGAGTGGAGTACAGAGAGGGGGAGTCCAGGATTCACCTGTGAAGACAGGAACGCAGCAAGAGACTAGAGAGAGGGCCCAAGAGCTTGGCTCTGGGTCAGCCAGACCTGGAATTAAGAGCGGGGCCATGCAAGGAAAGAAGGGATGTAAAGGAAGTGACTAAAAGGAAATGTTGAGATTTATGAGTGCAAAATTGGGCTCTGTAAGCAGAATGAGCGTCCTTGAGGGAATTATGGGAAGTTCCAAGACTCTCAAATCATATTTATTAGCATTCACATTCATAGTGCATTTTTTGTCCTTCTTAAAAATTGAAATTATTCAGATAAGGGAAAGATCCTCCCCTCCCTCGCTGATTTACAGAGTAGTGACATTCCCAGACAAGGTGAGTTTTTGGTGTGCTCAGCTCAGACATTCTTGTAGTCATTAAGCACAGGCCCAGGCAGGCCTTTGTGAAATGGGTTTCCTTAATCACATCACTGTCACTATTAGGAGGAAATATTGGACAATATATAGGTATCATAACGTAAGACAAATTTTTTTCTGGAACTGACCGCATTTGCACAAAACCATCAGTCATGTTGGCATTAGCCATTTTTTCCATCACAGATGAGGTTCAAGAAAGCGTTTTTCCAATTCAGCTTCCCCTAGCTGCACACTTTATCACTCCCCATCGGCCATCCTCCTAAGAGATGTATTATTCCAATATATTTGGAGATTCCATAAAGGAGCATGGGCCCTGAAATCACACTGCCCAATTTCAAACCTACCAGTAACTATGTGAGTGACCTCAGTTGAGCTATTCAAACTCATTAAGCCACAGTTTCTTCGTTTGTAAAACAGGGAAGAGTAACATAACTCTTCATGGTACTAATGATGATTAAATCATATGGAAAGTGTTCAGCACACTGCCTTGCCTGTTTCAAATCATGCATTCAAAGACTGTAAACTTTATTATAATTATAGGACAATGTGAAGAGCTTTAGATCTAAAGAATAAAACTTTCTCACTTTACATGTTTTTTTTTCCCAAATAAACACCCATTTTGTGTGTGTGTGTGTGTGTGTGTGTGTGAATTTGAGATACATGGAACTTAGCAGGGAGTGTTGCTTCAGAGATAATAAATGCTCCCATCAACAACCACAATATTTTGTCTTCTTTGGGATCTTCAGTATTTAAGTTTACTCTCTGTTTATATTGATGAACTTTTGGACTTAATTTCAGAGCACTGTTTGCCAGAGTAGATTTTAAGAGCACCAGCAATTTGTCATGACTCTGATAGGTCCACAGAGCAAAGAAGAAAAGAAAGACATAAAATCAAGACCTTAGGTTTGAAACAACGACGAAAAAAAATTGTTCAGGGCCATTAGGAATCATCCATTCAACCTACTCCTTTTTCAGATAAGAAAACTGGAGGCCCAAAGGGATCATGGGACTTTCCCAAAGCCATTCTGCCAACTGTACACAAAGCTGTGACTAAAAGCCTGTGGAGAAGGAAAACGAGCTTGGGAGTGGAGAAAGAAAAGAAAGGAGGTGGAAGGAAAGTCAGGATGTTATTTTGCAATTTCTCTGAAAGGAGTGAAGAGGGACATTTGGGATTTCATAATTCATAAAGCTCCTTTAGTAAAAGCCCATGGAAGTCTGAGAATCAGAGAATAAAGAACATTCGACTGGGAGTCCCATACCCTTTATCCATCACTCTTATCAGTATTATAGCTATGAGGTTTGTGACAATCTCTTTAATAAGCATTTTTAAGAGTTCAGCTTTTTATTGAACATGCTATAAAATAGGCTTACTCAAAAAAAAAAAAAAAAAAAAAAAGCCCATGTTATCATCAGACTCCAGATTCTCCTTTCTTTGCTTCCACTTTCTTCTCCTCTACCTGGGCTGCAGTAATGGAAGGGCAGGACCTCCTGCAGATGCACCACCAGCTGCTGGAGCAGGTCGTCCCACCCCACCCCTCCACTGCAGAGGAGGCTCCCGATGTTGACAATGGCCAGGGCCCTGGCAGACAAGCCAGGCCAAAAGTCGTCATCATTTACCCCGGCTGCTTTAGAAAGGACATTGACCTTATCCTCTGTGATGATCCCCTCAGCGTTATGCAGAACGAGGGCTGAGTCAGTGCAGGCGAGCTCTGAGATGGAGTCTGTGCTATGGACAAGTGCAAGGCTGGGCTGCCCGGAATAGTGCTAGTGCTGGATGCAGTGAGGGCCTCACCCCAAGGCGACCTCAGCTCAGAAGGGCGGAGTGTCTTGGCGGCAGCTGGGAAAAGGCTAAATACGCATTTTTTCATATTTGTAAATTGAGTAATTGGAGGAGATAATCCTTAAGATTGTTCCCCTTTAAGACTTCACAGTTTTGTTCTTCTGCTGCCAAATGCCCCGTGGCACTCTCTGTGCAGGTCATGACAGGTCCTGAGGTGGGGTTCCTGCTATGCACATCAACGGGTAGGGTTTGGGTATGTAGAGAAGGTGGAAAAGGGCATCAAGGACACAGTGGCCCAACTTGAGAGGACAAAAAAAATTGACCAATGACCTGGAGAAAAAGTGTAGTGAGTCTGGCTAGAGAAAAAATAACAACCAATCATATTAGAAAGCTGGTCAGACCAGGGGCTGTGGAGGACTCTGAATGTGAAGCAAATGACACACATTTGGGAGTCGTCAAGGGATATTGACAAAGGGAACTCACGGTGATGTCAAAAGACATCATCTAGGAAAAGTAATTGAGAATCACTGGCCCAACATTGGCAAGGCCAATATTGTGTGAAGTTGAGATTCTCATCAAAATCCGTAATTCTAATATTCGAGAGGGGAAGAATTCATAAACACTGAAGCTGTGTCTGTTACCTAACACTGCATCAGAGAATAAAGGGCATGTTCAGGTAACTGAATTTTAATACGGATTATTTGCATGGATTCCAACTTACTTTTCAATTTAGGCAAAACAATGTACATATGTGGGATCAGTCTGAGTTTCACATTTTCATTTGGTAAAACTTCACAGCAGGCATTGGTCACTGTGAGCCAATGCAACCCTATCCACTGGGCCTGCTCCTGTAATTAATGACACACATGAACCAAGTAGGAATGGTCTTTGAAGATACTGCAAAAGGGTGACAGTCACAGGAGCTAGTCAGTCAAATATGAGAAACTCAAATGTGTTTGGGATCATTTTAACCTTTTTAAAAACACAGAAAGATGTTTGTTTGTTTGTTTTCCTAGCCAATTGGCCTGCTGGCTTGCAAATAATATCTATCAATCTGTGTGTTTTCTTCCAGGGTCTTTCTTCCCTGATATCAAGCCCTCTGAAACAGTTTTTAAAATAGTATTTTGGCTCGGATATCTAAACAGCTGCATCAACCCCATCATATACCCATGTTCCAGCCAAGAGTTCAAAAAGGCTTTTCAGAATGTCTTGAGAATCCAGTGTCTCCGCAGAAAGCAGTCTTCCAAACATGCCCTGGGCTACACCCTGCACCCGCCCAGTCAGGCCCTGGAAGGGCAGCACAAGGACACGGTGCGCATCCCCGTGGGATCAGGAGAGACCTTCTACAGGATCTCCAAGACGGATGGTGTTTGTGAATGGAAATTTTTCTCTTCCATGCCCCGTGGATCTGCCAGGATTACAGTGTCCAAAGACCAATCCTCCTGCGCCACAGCCCGGGTGAGAAGTAAAAGCTTTTTGCAGGTCTGCTGCTGTGTAGGGCCCTCAACCCCCAGCCTTGACAAGAACCATCAAGTTCCAACCATTAAGGTCCACACCATCTCCCTCAGTGAAAACGGGGAGGAAGTCTAGGACAGGAAAGATGCAGAGGAAAGGGGAATAAGTTTAGGTACCCACCCCACTTCCTTCTCAGAAGGCCAGCTCTTCTTGGAGGACAAGACAGGACCAATCAAAGAGGGGACCTTCTGGGAATGGGGTGGGGGGTAAACCCAACTCATTAGGCAGTGGATAGGGCACAGGGAAGAGGGAGGGTTTCTCACAACCAACCAGTTCAGAACGATACGGAACAGCATTTCCCTGCAGCTAATGCTTTCTTGGTCACTCTGTGCCCGCTTCAACGAAAACCACCATGGGAAACAGAATTTCATGCACAATCCAAAAGACTATAAATACAGGATTATGATTTCATCATGAATATTTTGAGCACACACTCTAAGTTTGGAGCTATTTCTTGATGGAAGTGAGGGGATTTTATTTTCAGGCTAAACCTACTGACAGCCACATTTGACATTTATGGGGAGAGGGCTTAGAGAGGAAGAGCATTAAGATGGTGGCCGAGATCCAGACACATTATTTTTAGAGCAAGTTCTGAAACTCCACCCTTTCTGACACATCCAATTTCTCAGCTTGAGGGAAACTTGACAGTGAAGTTTACCTTTGGCTGCACTTTGAATGGATGCTGCTCCTCATTTCCCAAAGATGAGAGTGAGGGGCACTCATGATGTCTCAGAATGTAGCATTCTCTATCCTGGGGTCAGGAGAGCGTTGAAAGAACCAACCAGGGCGGTATGGCTTTTCCCAAGAGAAGACAGTAGACCTGAGCATCATTCTTTCAATTTAACTACTAGAGAGAAAATCCATTAAACAGTTCCAAGATCAGATGATGATAGGCTTTCTCTCTAATATCTTTAAACATCAAGAGCTTGGGGTGGCTGTTAATTTCTTGCAAAGACAGAGGCTGTTCACTTACTGCACAGCCATTTCAACATGGCTTACAAAAGGCTTTCTTGACAAATCACTTACCTGTTCCAGAACTCTGTTATGAAAATCCAGAGCTGATAATATTTTGAAAGGCAAAACATTGTCTCCCATTACTTCTCATCTGCTTCACTATTGCATAATGAATGAGCTTCACCTGTGGCATGTTGGAATGAGCCTTATGATCCAAATACATTCTTCCCGAACTTTGAAATATACTAATGCTTAGCTTCAGAGAGATACTGATGGATCACCAAAGAACTGTCTAAAGCAGGAGTTTGCAAACATTTTTTGATAGAAGCCCATTTGTTCTGGAAAAAGATCCAGTAGTCAACTCAACTTCATCTATTCCTACTTTTCTGCAAGAACTTGGGGAACATGCTATATTTTGCTTTATGTGTACCAAATTTTGGTAAACCATAACAACTCAGTACAGAACTTGCGTATCTCTTTCCTGAAATGCTTGGAACCAGAAGTGTTTCAGATTACAGATTTTTTCAAATTTTGAAATACTTGCATATACATAATCAAATATCTCTGGGATGGGACCCAAGTCTAAACACAAAATTTATTTATGTTTCATATACACCGCATATGCATAGCCTGAGGGTAATTTTATACAATATTTTTAATTGACTGTTTTGGACTACAACCCATAGACATGAGGTCAGGTGTGGAATTTCCCACCTGTGGTGTCATGTCGGTGCTCAAACAATCTCGGATCTTAGAGCATTTTGGATCTCAGATTTTCAGATTAGGGCTGCTCAAGCTATAGTTTACTAATGAGGAAGATGGTAACTATATGCAAAAATTATATATGGCTGCCGTTCCACAATAAGGATTTAAAATAGGATTTATGTTTTTGGAATAATTCTTGACAACAATCAGTGGTCTAAAACTAAAGACCATTTGCCTAGCCTCTTTCCTCTATTAGGGTAATTCCTCCAAGAAATTCAAAGCAGCTCTAACCTTCACAGCAAGAGTAGTGGCCTCAACATCCTTTTCTTCTTCCCTTGCAGCAAAATGATAATTTCCTTAAATCCTTCTAAAAAAACAAATCTCTTTCCACGTTGCAATGGAGGGTATGTTTGTATGTTTATTTGAGTTTTGTTATAGGTTGTGCTGAGACCTGGAGCGTGACTGTTTTTTCAGCCTTTTTCTGAAGAGTATCTTCTTACTGGCCAGATACATATTCAGCCTTGTGTTCAGAACTTGGATTCTGGCACTGAGATGTTGGCTGGATTTTTAGACTCTTCTGTTCTCTCTGTGTGTCCCATAAGAGCTCTGCCAGATGTGGATGTCCTATTATAGAGGCAGGCATCTAGGAAGAAATTGAATATGCAAACCCTCGCTTCTCTTTGGCCTTGATAGGAAAGATCAGTTTCATTGCTGACAAGAGTTTGGTCCAGAATCTGAATAAGAAAATCACATGCCCCACTCCTCCTTACAGAAAGAGCCTCCCCATGGGAAGAATGACTATCATTTTTCTTCAGCGAATTATGATTCCATGTTAGAGATGATCCTTTAAACACCTTTACAGACACATTTAAATTTTAGATATGGGAAAGCTTAGAAACACAGGAAATCTGGCACTAATGCCACATCTAATCTAAATAAACAACTAGAGAATCTTTCGGTCATCAGATTAAAACCATGACAATTGTATCCATGTAAAACTATCCGTAAATAATTGTCTGCTACACTCTTCTCCAGCTCCCTCTCTCCAGGGAGGTAAACTTTTAACATTTTTTTCCTTTCCCATAGCATGATACACCAATTTTACAAGAAATTGATAACGTCAACCAAAACTTAGTCAAAGTGGGGTAAACAATATATGAGTTGAATTACTTTTAGCTCATTCCCCCTAAATCTCTGTACCTTTAGGCATGCCAAAAAATATCTAAAATTGTTGCAGTTTAGCAAGTGATTGTCATATTTATACTCACAAGTTTACTGCTTCTATTTGGAGTTTGAGGAATTTACCCAGAGTAACGATGTCTTCTCTAATGTGTTATAAAAAGTACTTGCTTTGGGATTGTCTAAATATCACAAAAATCAACATGACATTATGGGATAGAGAAAATTTGAGTTTATTCTGACATTATGGGATAGGGAAATTTTGAGTTTATTCTGCAACTCAAACTGCATGCATTAAGAGAGACCCTGAATCTCCTTCTTCAAAAATTTCCCCAGACTACGTCAAGGATTTCAGAAAAGCATTTTGCTCGTCAGTTTTCTTTCGTTTGCCTCTCTCATGTCTTATCCAAGAGGACTTCTGCTTGTAGTCACATAGCATGTCTAACACTCTCCAAAATATTCAAAAATAAATATTCCATGGTAGACAGTAGTGTTTGGGTAAATAAATATTCTCTTAAGATTTTTCTGTTAGCTCATACTGTGTGCCAGGCATCTGCAGGAAATTTTGCACCCATTGCCTCTAAACTCCCTGGAAACTCTGCTACCCCTATTTTACAGATAAAAATCCCATCATTGTGAGAAGTTAAGGACTTGCCCAAGGCCAAGGGGGAACCATGATTTAAACCTAGGTCACCCTATTCTCAACCTGCACATTTTCCATATCCCTCCTTCCTCAAGAGAATGGGGGTAAAAGGTTTCCCATTTGGATTGGGTGTGCTGAGAATGCCAAGCCATATTCAAACTTCTTAATGTTCTGTTTCCTTGGGATTTGCCTCCAAATTAACCATGGCAAACATGCTGCCAAATCTCCAGCCCAGTCAAACCCAAGAGCAGGGCATCTGTGGAAGGGTTTGGTGTCTGCACTTCTAACTATCAGACTGCACCACATTTTTAGGAGTTAATGGCCTGGAATGTGATTAAGGCCTTGCAAGGAGGACATACTAACGGCACGTTGGGGGAAGATGAGCATAGAAGAGAATGCAGAAGGGGCCGCATTGGCCAAGAACAGTAAAATGCAGTTGCAGACAGGACACATATCGGGTGTTGTATTGAAGTTATTGATGACCAACCACAGTTCATAGAAACACTTTCGGGGAGTACATCCGTTTTAAAAATAAATGAAAACAAATACAACATAAGTCACTCTCACTCACCTGTATTCCAACTACGTTTTTAGTTGGACAGAGGGGAATGGATTTTTTTTAGTTGGACAGAGGGGAATAGATATTTCACCAAGAATTGCAGAGAACATATCAAGCATGTGAATTTTATAATGCCACCATGGGGAAAGGGTTCAGAATGTTGATCTCCAGGTAGCTGGAGACTTAGGCAGTCTGAAAATTAGGAGCCAGTTGGAAGTTATGGCTATGTATTATGTGACATCGCTTGTTCCTAATTTCTTTTCACAAGTGAACACTGGATAGCCTGACCTTCTGGCCCAGTAGGTTTCACGGTTAAGACCTGGGATGAGAACATTTTAGGAACTATTTGCTTGGGCAGGTAATTGTTCACTCTTTGATCACGGCCACTCAATCAGAGCTTGACAGACTTTTTCAATTGCTTCTGGGGCTGGTCTGCTCAGGTCCTTTAGCCAAAAACGATGCTGCCTGTGTGTATGAATACTTGTTGACTTAATTAAAGAAAGAGTTCTGCTCATCAGCAAAGGGCACCCAAGCAGATGGGAGGTAAACTCTCCAAGGTAAACTCTGCAAGGAAAAACCAAGTGAAAAGAAAGCAGAGGAGGCAAATACGGAGACATCAGAGGTATGCTTACCCGTTACTCTGATTTTTTTTACACTACTAGGACTTTTAACCATGAAACCACCTGCGCACAGCTCCAGTGGAGCCCAGTTGGAACACTGTTTGCACCGCTCCGTGTCTGCAGACTGTGCTGGGGAGCTGGGCTGAGCCAGGCTGCTGTGGTGCCCACCATCTTCAGAAAGCAATGGCAGCTGTGGCCTCCTGGCCCTCCAGAACCCCTGGGAGTGGAGTGAGTGGAGATGACCGTTGTGGGGCTGGGCTGACAAAAGCAAGTTAGGATTTCAGCGGAGGACACCAGCCCTGCTCCCATCAGCATTAGCTCATTCGTGCTCCCCAGACCCAAATGTCGTGAAGGAGGGGTTGAGAATGGGCCGTATCTACTCTATGCAGGAAATTGTCTTTCTGCTTTGCTGCTGAAACATGCATTACTGGTTCTCCCACCTAAAAGGAAGGTTGTGGGGTTTGGGGGTGGAGGGGTTTAGAAGCAGGAAGATTTACCATAGACATCGCTCAAAGCAGGATGGTTGAGTCATGCCTTGCTGCAACTGATAAGCAAGGAACTGCCCTAAAGATTATGGCTTATTCATTTCAAAAGACAAAATAATTGCCTTTCCTTTTTGTGTGGCTCAGGAGTTATTACTTTACTTTTTCTCCATATCATATTCAGTGGAGCCACGTTATAAGCTGAAAATGACTATTACTAAACTATAAAAACTACAGACTTAATTAGGCAGAAAATTTAAGAGCAAATGTACACTGTATTTGGAGAAAAAACATGAAGGCACTGGCTTCTTCAAAAGCCTGGGTCCCACAGGTGCATTCAAATGCAGTAGAGAGAAAGCTAAGACAGAAAATCCCAACTTGAGTTTACTATTTCTGTCCATTTATATAGCACTTTATATTTGTCAAAGTAATTGTGCCTATCTTAAGTCATCCCTGTGCAGTAGAAGGAGAAGACATAGATTATTACCTACACTTTAGCATATAAAGAAAAGAGGAAGTGGGAGATTTAAGGGTTTATTTGAATATCCCCAAAGCCAGCCTCCGACTCCTTTTTCCATGACACCTCAATGTTTCCCAGGTCCACTGTATTTCTCGACACTCTGACTTTCATATCTCACTCATTTGTCCCTGACCTATAATCCCAGCTCTATTGGCACTTTCTCTCCCACCTTATCTCTGCCATGGCTGGGCGGCATGCCACTGTTCTAGGGACCAACGGCATATTTGTCTATGCTTCTGTCATCGACTGACGGACAAGCACAGGTGATTCTGTTCTTTCTCCCTAGATGGCAGCAGCGGAACCAAGGAAATATGCAGGGCAGGAGGCTCTTGGTTTGCTCCACAGGGTGACATGTAAGGCAGTGATTGTCACCTTAATGTCCTCAGGAATGCAGAGGTCCCAAAGGGAGTTTGGGGAATAATTATTTTCCCGGTCAGCCTGTGTGTCATTGCACACCCACTGGTTATCAGCAGCAGCAAACGACCTCTCCTGCACCCAGCCCTGCACTTGGCATGACAAAGAGGCACAGAGAGTCCCCAGCTTACAAGCTGGATGGAGTCCGGGTTCATCTATTTCAAAATCAAGAAAGCATTTTTCCAAGAGGCATTGTTATAAATGGGGGAGGGGGAGGATGTTCCCAGATGAACCAAAAAATAAAAATCTATTTAATGTACCTTAGGAGTTTGCAAACCTTTTCTGTATGTGACTAGATAGTAAATATTTTAGGCATCGTGGGGTCATACAGTCTCTATCACACATTCTTATTTGTTTAGCCTTTTTGGGGGGTGGGGGAACAACCCTCTAAAATGTAAAAACCCTTCTTCTCTCAAACAAAACAAACAAACAAAACCTGGTTAGGCTGCAGGTCGGAGTGAGCTCATTGGCCATAATTTGCCGTCATGATCTATGCCATTACTAGCTAACAGTGTAGCACAGATGATGCTAAACAATGGGTTTCGGTGTTCAACATACAAATATTTTTTCATATGCCATTGACACAATTCCACTTGGCTAAATTCAAGTTCTCAGCCTGCATGAGTCGTTGGATAAAGTGACAAGTCCATATTCAGAGTGGCCCCACTCCATGAATTGTTGTGACCTTCCAAGCAGGCATCAGGATACGAGATGAGCCTCTGCCACCCCCACTGCTGTTGTCTGTAGAGCAGGAAGGTACACTGGAGCCCAGGGACCCTCAACATCATTCAGCTCCTCACCTCATCAGGGAAACCCCCACAGCACAATCTGGCTGACCCTAAGAGTAGCAATAATAAATACACACCTCTTGAGCAAGGCCAACCTGAAATTCCTCCCAGACCCTTGGGACCTGCCCAAGTGGAGGTCCCCAGAGGCCCTCAAGAGAATTTCAGGGCCACACTTGGCTCCTTGAGTCCTGGACATGGCACCCCACACCAGGGCATTTGAGGGCCTGCCTGGAGCTCACCAAGAAGAGTCAGGGGGTTCAGAAAGCATGCTGGGTATGACAGGCATTTCCAAACGACAGATAGGATGCAGAATTTCTCTCCTCCTTTTTCTCTTCCTCTTCCTCCTCCTTCTCCTCCTTCTCCACTTCATCTTTTCTTATTTTTCCTTTCTCTTTGACTAACTGGAATAGAAATGATATTACTATGGGGAAGCATATTTGTCCCTCCCCTGGGAATACCAGATTCATGTTTCCCTGAGCTGACACACTTTGTTGGAGGGACCTCTTGTTCCTTCCTCTCTCTTGCCCTGGATGGGCAACAAGGAAGAGAAAGACTTTCCCAATCAGAAATAAGGTGCAGTTCCTGCAGCCAAAGGCACAGTGTTCACAGTGTTGAGAGAGGAGACTCCACAGCAGGGCTCTGGGGTGGGGCATGGATGGTGGTGGGTGCAGAACTGATATGGAAGAACCTGGAAATACTGAGGCCATTCAGTAATAACACCACTGCCACCTTGGGCTGATGACACATGACAGCTTCCCCTCCCTTCCCTTCCTTGTCCCCTGTTTGGCCTTGGTCCTGTGCCCTTTCATCTTTCCCATCTCCTTTCCTGATCCCATCCTCTCCATAATTCCACTGTCCCCTTCTTGCTAAAGTTACAAACAGTGAAAGAAGCTGGGGTGGGTGCCCTTCCTCCAGAGGGTGCCATTTCCCATGGAATCCATGCTCCATGCATAGCTCTGGGTGATGAGATGGGGCTGCCCTCAGCAACTCCATCCTCTTCCCAGGTCAGCCTGATTCTGTGAGCTCCAGGCCCACATCCTCCAGAGAGCCCAGGGCAGGAGATGGTGCCAGGAGGGTGAGGACATTCTGAAGGCCCCCATGGACTTTTACCCTCTGCTTGCAGTGCTGCCTTTCTGTTCTTATACAATTGCTTCCAAGTACAAACACAACGTGCAGCCGCATATTAGAAAAGAGTTGGTGGTCAGAGTGGGTGGCTGCAGTATTTCTATCAGCCTCCGTGGTGTGCACCTCTTACCACTCTCTGATGGTTCAAAAGTCTCTACTGAGCCCAGCAAAGTCACCTTCTCTTTCTCTTCTTCTGCATCTTCTGTCTCTTGCCCTTATTGTTCCTTTCCTGTTGACTTTCCCTCTTAAGAGCGCCTGAGGGCCTTCCAGGCCTTGATTAATCCCATAAAGTAAAGCTGGTTTTATGATAGCATTGAGCAATGCTTAACCCATCGGAATGTATACCCTAAGCAAAACTGTCAGCCAGGCAAAGGGTGTTCTTTTTCTTCTGGTGCGCTGCTCTTTGTCCCTGTCCCCAGCAGCCCATCTGCTGCTGGAACTTGTTCACGGAGTCCTTCTGCCAACTCATCGTATTCTTGTTCCAGGAACTTTTCTGCTTTAAGTAAAGGATCTTCTCCCAACCAGTATGCTCCTGCTTTTGCAGATACAGCACAGCTCCATGCATTTCCAGCTCCATCATATTAGTGTCCTAGCCAATCATAACAAACAAATGGGGTGGCTTCAACAACAGAAATATATTGCGCCACCATTCTGGAGGTTGGAAAGTCCAAGATTAAGGCGTTGGCTGGTTGTTTCCTGTGAGGCATCTCTCCTTGACTTATAGATAGATATCTTCTCGCTGTGTCTTCACATGGTCTTTCCTCTGTGCATTTCTCTGTCCCAATTTCTTCTTCTTATAAGGACACCTGTTTTATTGGATTAGGGTCAACCCTCATCACCTCATTTAACCACACCATGCCTTAAAAGGCACTATCACTGAATACAGTCACATTCTGAGGTCTTGGGGACTTCAACATAGGAATCTGTGGGAGACTCATTTGAGCCCATAAGGACTCTCTCCTCACTCTCTCATTTCTGCCCATACAAAATGTATCCATAATTCTTTTCCCAGATTAGAAGTTTAAATTCGGCCCTTTCTGATCATTCCAATTTCTCTCCAAATTCTTATAGCAATTGTTTGTAGAATCTATTTGGCAACTAATTCTGTAGTCTATTGTAATTTTTCTGTTGTCTTTAAAAGTCTTTATCTATTTAAAGTATTTTAAAGGGTACCTTGTATACACTGTACTTATATAAGTCCTGTCTTCTCAACTAGAGGAGAACTCCTGGATGGCAGCAATGGTCTGTCACTTAGCATGCCCATGACAGTACTCCAGCCCCTAAGCAAACATGGAGAGAGGGGTGCACAGCAGAACAAGTAATAAGATCCAACCACTAGTTACAGATAGCAGCTGGGAGGCCAGTCCCCAGGGACCTGGAAACATCAGAAGATCCACCCAGAAAGGCTCAAGTTGATGACCCTGAGGATTCTTAGGGACAGTAAGATCCAGTTAGGGGTGCAGAGCACAGCAGTGGGGAACCCCAGGTCAGCAGTGGGGAATCCCAGCCATCTTGAGTCAAGTGGGCATATGCTTACCCAGAGACATCTGCACCTGAGGAAGCAGAGCCCCATCATTAAATAGGATAGACCCTAGACTCCGAGAGGAGGGTGAGACCGAACAAGATGGGATAAGAACCAACAGCAGAGCCCAATCTTGGGAACTGGGGCATTGAGGACCACATGAGAGCCCTGTGATCATGCTGGGGCCCCCGTGCCAGTGATAGGTGGGTTAAGGGTATATCAGTGCTGTCTACCCTGTATCACACAACTGGCTTAAAAAATGGGTGCCAAAGAGCTTCATGTAATTTTCCTCTACTCTTCTCATAGCCTAAAACTGACAGAAAAGAGGAAAGGAAGCTGCATTGTTTGGATTTGATATGAGGATGTAGACAGCTAGGCCCTGCTAAAAGCTGTCTTAATTTCGACCTTCTGAAGACCACCTCCCACTCTTAAAGCCTAAGCCTTCGTGAGCGCAATAAGACGGTCCTGCTGCCCTGCTGCCCACTCTGCCTGGTCTCAGGGCATCCTGGCCTGCACACCTTGTGCCTCTTGAAAAATTCCATGCCATTTCCACTTAATCACCCAACCCAAGAGCCTTGTATTGCCTCACAGTGTTTCCCTGACAGCCACAGAGTGATATATTCTCTTCTGTCCTGGTTCCTGCTAAGAAGCAACGAGCATTTATCCTCATTTGAAAGAATCAGGACTGTTCTAACTGCATTGCACCTGCTGTTGTGTTTTCTGGGCAAGACACCATGCCGCTGTGGCCGCCTATCCCCCTCCTTCCTCCCTGGGCACTCTCAGGTTGCAAGTGTTTCTGCTTCCACAATATCAATCACATCAGAACACCTTTGCTGTCTAGAGTCACGTGATGTACCAACTTTAGTCCAATCTGGAAATGACAGGGGGAAAATCACATCAAAAGGAAAAGCCTACAAAAGTATTCAGTCTATTCAAGCCCAAAAGCCATCCAAAACCAGGTTCGAATAAGTGTAGCAATGGCTTATTGATTTATCTTTAAACATTGCATTTCTTCCACTCCCTTGTCTTCATTCCTGTTGCTAAATGCAGCCTTATCTTTCATAATGAAAAGAGTTTGACTAATTGAAGTCTCAAGAGATAGGAAGGTTGTGGCCCATTAATCAAAAGCTGAGCATTGGGTAAAGTACTTCGTGCCCCACAGTGCCTCCCCTAGTCAGTCCTGGAGTCATAGCAGAGGTGACAGTGGTTGTAAAGAACAGAGAAGGAGGGGATCTTGATGAATGTGGTGGGGAATGAGCAGCTTGAATCTACAAATAAGGATGTCCAAAGTCAATCTGACAAGTAGGAAGGCTATTAAAAAGTACTTCTGTGAAGTATTTTTAAGATCAAAGCAAGCATTACAAATATTTAAATAACAATCTATTGCTAGTTTTCTACATACTTTAAACAAAAAGAGTCAAACTTTTATTAGGAAATAATTGAATAAAAACTGAGGTCCGTTGCTTGCTCTCATCTCCATTCCCAGCAGCTTGTCTGGCCCCAACTTCTTCTTCTGAACATCATACACAACCCTGATATTTAAACTTCAACAAGTGAGAGCTGACATTTGTGCAACAGAAATTCTGCCTCAGCATTTAAAGCTGAATCAAAAACACATGCTTTCTTCATCAGATGTGAGGGAAAACAAACTATTTTTATCTCTGGGTATAACAAGTCACAAGCAATTCACTCTCCAGTATTAACACAGAAACTTAACCCAATATTGCCAACAATGAAATCATTTTGCTCCCTATAATGCATCCATGATGATTTATACAAAGATAAAGTTTAAATAGTAAAAATGGTATTTTCGGAGTATCCACTACATGCCAAGATTTTTGCACATGGTATGGTAAGGTATGAGATTTCATAGTCACATTACAAAAGAAATATTTTCCCAGAGAATAAATACATTATGGGTATGAGACGAGGAAAGTAAGTCAAGTCTGCAGGGAGTTTTGAAAAAGAGAAAGACTGGAAAGAACTGTGTTCTCTTCTATGTTCTCCTGGTGTTCTCCTGTGCTCACCGCTTAGCTTGCTAAACGTGACCTTCCCAACTCCACTCCAAGGTCCATGCTAGGAAGGGCACTGGAAGGATCTGGAAAATGGTGTTGAGAGAAGACCAATGATGGACTAGGAGTCACAGGCCTGGGCTTCATTGCAGTCCCCATCTCTGTACCTATTTAAGAGGCCCTAAACAAGTCATGTGACCTCTCTTGAGCCATTTTCCTCACCTGTGAAATGGGATTAGCAGATAAAATTGTGTACATGAAATGCCTTATGAGCTGATAAAGCTATAAAATCATAGTAGGCCCCCTATAAATGCTAGCACTCTTTCCCCGTCTTCATTTCCCCTCTCAAATGCCATCTAAATAAGACGCAACTATAAATTAGATGACCTTTAAAGTATCTTCAAGCACTGAAAGTGCCATGTGCAGGAAGAGAGAAAATAAGTCCTTCACTTTCCTTTGCTCTTTATCTCACTTCAGGTTTACATTTCCAGGAGTTGGTCATGCCCACCCGAAGACATTCATTTCTCTGTAATTAGAAAGCAGGTCACAAAGCACCTGCTGCACCGTGGGTCAGGTCCTGTCATTCCTGCATTCAATGTGCTAGGCACCAAATCCCAGCTCTCAGTTATTCCCCACACCACGCTACTTTCTTTGGGTTGGAAATATCTCCACCTGGAAAATTTGTCTTAGCTTTTAAAAATCAGGCAAACTGCACGACTTTGAAGATTTCCACCAAGCTCTCTGAATTGTAGACAGGCCAGAACAAGAGTATCCAAGGCTGGTGTTTGTCATCTTCCTCACATTGGCTACTTGCTTAGTAATAGAAAGTATTTTAAGTTATCATAGTTGTCCTATGAAAGACACTACATAAAATGCAGTCATTATAGAAAAGGTGTGTGTGTTTGCCTTTGTGTGTGTGCGTGCGTGTGCTTATATAAATGATGTTATGGGAAAGAGAAGTAGTTTTGACCACTGGAAGGCAGTACAGCATTTGAAGCAAAACTAAGATGTAACATCATCTAAGGAAATATGGGATGAGCACCTCTGGGCTTGGGCAACTATTGGAAGTAAATGTTTACAAGCCAAAACCGCAAATTCCCAATCATGAACAGAGGTCGTTTTGATTTCACTGCAAGTTGAAGATCACTATAATACCCCCAAAGGCTGGCTTTCACATCATCCAAGGGTCACGACTCATGCTACATTGAAGCGTATGAGTGTCTGCTTGTGTCACAAACCTGACAGAGCAGAGGTGGGGGGTGGGGGAAATGGAAGCAAAAGGGACAGCCTTGACGCTGCACTTCCAGACTCGCATGGAAGCTCCAGGTCACAATCTTAGTTCCAATTTCAGGTTCTGCCAGTCAAGTCTAGACATTTCTGGGGCGCCCTTTAAGTGGTCTCCAGCAGCCTTCTAGGCAGGTGGCTTCAGAGGGAGGTCCACACTGCAAGCTCAGCTCACCACAACTCAGGCTGACGGGGCAGTCAGCCATGCTCGGAGGCTGAATTTGGCAGGGACTTGCTGCCATCTCCCTGCCAAATGGTCTCTCGTGACTCAGAATCTCAAAATTGTTTTAAAGAGAGGAAAAAAGTCACTTTCGGGGATGAGGTTCTTGGCCCAACTCTGCTTTATGTAAACACAGTCTATGACTATTTCAGTCTTCTGGATTTTGAGAAGCAGCTGCAAGGATGAACGGATTGGTGTTGGCCCAAATTAAAAAGAAGAGTGTTCAGTTCTTTCAGTGTTTGGAGGAAGAAGACCAAAAGCATCATCTCACAGGGAGCAGAATGTGAGCAGCCTAGCTAATGAGAAAATTAGAGGGATCCTCAATTTGAGAAGAACCCACTCTACCGGAGTCTGAACTTGTGAAAATGGACACATTGGGTCTGGAGTAAGAATTCTTACTCTACAAAAGGGTAAAATGTGATCACATTGATGCATGATGCCTAGGATATTAAAAATGCATGATTAATTAAAGGTTAGTCTACCTTGTGTTTTAAAGGGACACACACCCATAACATGAAGCCAGCTTCCTGTCCACGACTGTTGTCCTTACTGCCCAAGGAAGGGGAGCATTTGAAGCAAATGCACGAGTGAAGCAAACCCACCACTCATCCTGTGAACCACTGTCTTTGGAATCCACCCCAGGAGCCCAGGAGCCTTGCGTGTCACATGGATTTACTTCTTTATCAAGAATCCTTCTGACTAAGGTACAAATCCAATATATTACTGTTGCTGATGCAAGAAAAACGTAACTTAAGGAATGATCATGAATGCAAAGGGCAAGAGGAAAAGAGCCTTCGGAGACAAATAGCTCGATTTTTTGTAAATCAGTTTCGTACAACCTCCCTCCCCCATTTCATTCCTAAAAGTTAACTGAGAATGATCAGCCACGTGTAGGGTGTGAGGAATTCCATAAGGCACCCCAGTTTCTTCAATAAGTAAATGGCATTTTAAAAAGGGGAACTTTTATGGGTTAAAATATTCTTAAGAGATGTATTCATCAAGTATACTGTATAAGCGTTGTTCATTTAGATCTTTATTAAAACAAAGTGTAAAAAGACGTTTTTGAAGTAATTGGAGAAAATTAAGAATAGGCTGGGTCCTATTAGATGTTAGATAATTAGACTGTTACTTTAAATTTTATTGGATGTGATAATGGCATTGTCCTTAACTGGTAAGAGCATATCAAAGTATGTTTACAATTTGCTTTAAAGTTTTATTGCCAAAAGTGGAGAAGCAAGGGTGATAGATGAAATAAGAATGGCAGGCAAGGCCACACGCTGTTCTTCCATGTTTGTTCATGTTTGAAATTTTTCAGAATAAAATATTTTTAAAAGGAAAAAAAGGCACATTTAACTTGTAAAAGTCAGTGTCCTTTGAATTCTGGAACATTCATAGACATGAAAATCATGCTGCAAAACAAAATCCCCTTTGTTCAAAGAGAGCTGCTGTTGCACTCTCTGCTCTCTCATTTCTTTATTCACTCTATAATATTCAGTGTAGGTTGACTGTGCTCCAGCGCCAAGTCCAAGGGGTGGAGAATAACAAGGGCAGAGACATAGTCCTTGCCCTCCAAGCATCTATGATATTGACACAGTGCCATGGGAGCTTGGTGGAGGGCCTCAGTCGACTGCAGAGTTAGGCTTCTCAAAAGTGGTGATCTCTACGGTGAGTCTTGGAGGACACAATGGGGTGGAGAACAGAAACAGTTGTTCCAGGCAAAGAAGGGAGGAATCTGTGCAAAGGCCCAGGGGCTGGTAAACCTTGGGCGTGTGCTGGGGCTGCTGCCTCCTCCCAAATGTCGGGGCACAGGGCAGTCAGTCTCACTTATCATGGTGACCACTTGGCTCTACAAACCCCCACTGCCCAACTCCCCACAGGCAAACCACACAACTGCTCTTCATCTCACTCTTTTTTTAAGCCAAGAAAGAACTCACTGAAACAGCCAGTCGGTGGTGAGTCCAAGGCTTTCCTGACAGAGTGACCATGTTTGGCTTGGCTGAAAATCACAAAGCCTTGGTTTCCCAGTTGTCTGATTCTCTTTGTTCTCAAGGCCTGGTGCAGCATTACAGTGGGATGGCTAAACAGAAAAAAAAAAAAAAAAAAAAAAGGAGGTCTATTTCTCTCTCTTCACACAAATAAATATTTGCTCAAGAATGGAAGTGCCTAATTCTTAAGAATAACCAAATGCTTTGGACGTCTAAACAAGCAAATCATATACAAGGCAATTCAGTGTTCCTACTAATTGAGAAATTGTTTTTAGCAAGAAGATGTTCTGCAGCACGTTTTTAAAAAACAAGTTTTACAACAACAACAACAACAACAAAAAAGAAAATAACTGAATCACTATAATACACCCAAAGGTTGACTTTCACATCACCGAAGGGTCACATCTCATGCTACACTGAAGCGTATGAAAGAGTGTCTGCTCGTGTTAGAAACCTGATGGACTAGAGGTGGGGGGCGCAGAAATGAACGCAAAAGGGACAGACTTGAAGCTGCACTTTTGCAATCAACTAGCAGTTAGGAAGGACTTGACGTGCTGGGGCTAAGGAAAACAAATTTGGAGGTCCATTTTGCCTGTGAAATTAAAATTATACTTCAGTAAATAAAGCTGACGCCGTTTAACAATGAACCCGGTGACATTTCCTGGCTTGCTGCAGCGTTTCTGCTCGTCTCCTTGTTACATTTGTTCAAAATACAAACACAGCATTTCCACGTTGCCACAAAAGCAAATGTGGGCTGACTGGCTGGTTTTAGCTGCTATGGTTTTTCTGTAACCTTTAACAATTGTTGTGACAAATAAGATTCCATGTATGGTGCAATTTCTAACTGTGCAGTGTTTGTGAACCACGTCCACCTTCTCCAGGTTTGGTATTTGGTCGACTAAGTTGACGATGTCATTACCTTTCCTTCCATTTTACAAAAAAAAAAAAAAAAAAGTTAATCTGAATCATGCTGAGAGTTTGGTATGCACGCTATACTATTCAAGGGAGCATTCTCTCCTATGTCAGAATAATATATTTATGTGTGTGAATCAGTATACTTGAATTTGTGGCAACATTTTGTATTGATGCATATATATGACACCCAGGCTGACTACAATGGCTTCAAAGCGTTTAATTTCTCTTAAATGGACTCAGTATCCTTGGAATGTGCTGTTTAAGTGTTTCTGAATTTTCTACACGCCATTTTTACAGGTCCATCTGTTTATGATGTGATGTGATAAACAATCACGTTGATTTTATGTTTCTTTTCAAAGAAAATGAATGTATATAGTACTAAGCAGATGAATAAATTATTGAAAATATACACTTCATGGATCATGCCCACTGATAAAAATGAATTTATTTTATTTGTTGAACAAAGTGACTGTTCAAATTATAAGAATTTATATTGTCCTTATTAATATGAATGCCATCTATTTAAGTGTTGTTCAATATTGATATGTGTTCTTAATAAAATATTTTAAACCTCTTTCTTTAAACACATAACACCCTAGTTCTTCAATCATGGTGTGTTGTTAGTGTCTCTTGAGAAATGGAGTGGGTAGTGCAGACAAAGAAAGTTGGTATCTTCAGCCAGCTGCATAAGGTAGATTGTAATAGTTTGCAAAGTGTCCTTTGCTTTTTGGATGAATAGGTATTAAGATTTGTTTTAAGATTTGTCTTCATTTATCCATTTGTAAGTAGCATTTTTTTGTTATAGAAATAACTCATTCATTATAGAAAAAGCAAAAAATAAGTAAATAAGTATAGGAAGAGCAAAATAGAAGGTGTCTTTAAGTTTACCTTCCAAAGATAACACTTTATTATTTTCTTCAAGAATCTCATTTTTATATCCTCACTTCAAAAAAAATAAAATAGAAAGTATACTGGAAAAAATAATAAAAAATAGGGTAGATCGGACATAGGGTATACAGGGACATAGGGTGTACAGGGACTGCATTCAAGATATGGGCAAGGACCAGAATACACCTGGATCATCAGGTTTAGAAGCAGGTAGTGGGGGAATGTGGTATTAGAAGTCAGACACATGGAAATGTTGGATGTGTTCAAGGCAGGACATATTAAAGTACCCATAGCCAAGGCAATAGGTTATGAGGGCCGAGGTCAGAGAAGATCGCCGACAACACAGCTGTGTTTTGGTGGAGTGCTTTGATGGAGGTTCTTCTCTGGCCAAGGGCTCAGAACCTGGAAGCCTCAGGGCTACCCTTTCGGCCCCACTCCCTCAGTGGGACTCCTCAGTAGTATGGTTTCCTCCTTGGGGACATGAACTCTGGAGTCAGATTGTCTGGCAGCTGTTACAGGCTCCAAATTCCCTCAACCACTCACCACTTAGAAGATCTCAAGGCAATGCTTCAACATCTCCAAATCTTCACTTCCTCTTCTCAAAAATGAGAACAATGGCTACTGCGCATCATTAGAGGGCTTCTGGGCTAATGAAATAAAACCATGCAGGTAATGATTTAAGGAAATGCCTGACATAGAGTTAGCACTCAGCAATCACAGGTTGTTTTTCTTCTCATTGATCTTGCTGGGGGATTTTTGTGGCTGTCACTTTGACTACCCACAAAGGTGAGCATCTGCGTCCCGATGAGGAGGGATCATTATTTCCCACCCAAAGTCCTTGGCATATAAGTCAAATGATAGTAATACAGGAGCTAAAAAGAAATTATTCAGGCAGTTAGGGTAAAAGAGTTCTCGGTGGAATTTCCTTTTAACAAAAAGCAGCCCCAAAATAATTTCTTTTCTAACAAAAAGCAGCCTGAAAAATCAAGCTGCAAGCATAGACAAGCAAGCTTGAAGCTTGCATAGGTAAATGCCAGCAGTTATACCAATAAAAAAGGGATATCTGGAAGCCAGTTATATTCAAAATGGAGGTTTTCCCTTCCCTTTTCTTTGTTGCCACATGCGCAGGTAACATGGCACAGGCCAGGTAAAGACCTCATTTACATAATAAAAGATTAGGGTGGGATGACCAGCCTCCTCTGGCACTATGTAAATGGCACACCTGGTCCAACCAATCCACTATGCCCTATGTAAATGAGACACCGCCTCCTCAAGCTCATCTATAAAACCAACCAAATAAAAGTGGCTCACACAATAAGAAAATTGTTGAAACCATTATCAATACTTCGGCCTGAAAACATGCATCTTTGCCAAGATGCTCTCCAGTCAAACTGCCTGGGTTTGAATCCTATCTAGTGATTTGTTAGAATGTTTGCCAATGAGCTCTCTGGAAAAAAAAAAAAAAATGCCACATGATCTGTGGCATTTGGTCAATTTTTGTGGTGTAAATTATCCCATAATGGCCAAATTCAAGGTAGCAACATGATGTTGCTGAACACACTGTTGGGAAGAGGTGTGCACAGTCAGTTCTCAAGAGCCTGTACAAGTCAACTTCAACACTCCACTGATCCCACCCATGCCCCTTAGCAGCATGTGACCTAAGCCTACCTAGTGTTCATTTCCTTATCTGTAAAATGGGATAATAATAGAAGCTTCCTCATTGGACTGATATATGCAAAGAATGTCTGTGTAGTTCATAATAAACATTCAATGAGCCTTAGCTGTTGTTGTTGCAATTGCTGTTATTGTTAACACAATACTGATGCCTATTAGCACAGATCACAGATATCTCAGAACAGCAAAAGTGTCCATCCGCACACATTCCCTAGTAGATCAACTTTTCTGAAATATGTGTGGCAGCATTACAATCCTTCTTTTGGTCATCATGTAGCACCTACTCCTTACACTCACCCATACTGAATTTGTTGTCTCTGCTTCAGACTCCAAAGTTTTGGGGTTAACTCTGTCCCTTTACTTCTCAATTTTAACCAAAGTATTTAATGATTCTATGAACTAGTTTTCTTAGACAAAAGGCCTCTTAATGCTAAATCATCCTGCCAGCCTAATTATTATTATTAATTCTCCTGTTTATAAATACAAATTGCCTTCAACAGAATTTATGAAAAACAACTATTTTATTATGTTGTGTAGGTGGAGGAAAAAATACTTTGTACTCACTCCTCACATGTTATTATGTTCTGATCCATATACTCATTTCAAAATTATATATGCACATGATAAACTAAACAAGTAAAAGCACGGCAGTATAATGAGGTTGGAATGAGCTCTGGGTTTCTGAATCCTATCACTGCAGCCTCGTTGCAGAAACTGTACATAGGAGGACAAGAGCAAAATGGGAAACAACTTACAATTTTTGTTGTTGTTGTTGTTGTTGTTGTTGTTTTGAGACAGAGTTTTGCTTTTGCTGCCCAGGCTGGAGTGCAATGGCGCAATCTCGGCTCACCGCAACCTCCTGGGTTCAAGCGATTTTCCTGCTGGAATTACAGGCATGCACCACCATGCATGGCTAATTTTGTATTTTTAGTAGAGATGGGGTTTCTCCATGTTGGTCAGACTGGTCTTGAACTCCCGACCTCAGGTGATCCACCCGCCTTGGCCTCCCAAAGTGCTGGGGCTACAGGCATGAGCCACTGCGCCCAGCCTACAACTTAGAATTTTTATTAATCACCAGGACAGCTGTGTTCCCAAAATTAAAGCATCTCTGCTGAGCTACTCTGTCTCACTCAGGGTTTCCTATACCCAACTTGCTTGCATCTAAAATGTCCAGGTTTGAGGAATGCCACAGAAGGAATGTTTGTGTCCCTCCAAAATCCTTATGTTAAAATATCATTCCCATTGTAAAACTATTTGGAGTTGGGACCTTTGGGAAGTAATTAGGCAAAGCCTTCGGGAATGAGATTTTTGTCCTTACAGGAAGATACCCAGCTGAGTGTGGTGGCTCATGCCTGTAATTCCAGCACATTCGGAGGCCAAGGCCAGTGGATCACCTGAACTCAGGAGTTCGAGACCAGCCTGGGCAACATGGTGAAACCCTGTCTCTACTAAAAATACAAAAATTAGTTGGGCATGGTGGCACATGTCTGTAGTCCCAGCTACTTGGGAGACTGAGGCAGGGGAATCGCTTGAACCCAGGAAGCAGAGGTTGCAGTGAGCCGAGATCTTGCCACTGCACTCCAGCCTGGGCAACAGAGCAAGATTCTGTTTCAAAAAAAAAGAAAGAAAGAAAGAAAAAGAAGAGACCCCAGCCCAGATAGCTTCCTTGTCCCTTCTGCTATGTGAGGCTCCAGTGAGGAGATGGCCACCTATGAACCAGAAAACAGGCCTTTACCAGATACCAAATCTGCCAGTGCCTTGCTTTGAACTTCCCAGCCTCCAGAGCTGAAAGAAATAAATGTATCTTGTGTATAAGCCACCTATTTATGTTATTTTGTTACAGCAGCCCAGATGAACTAAGACAA